ACATAACCTTAATTCTGACTATGATAACCCTAATCCTTACCTCAGCCCTAACCTTAACCGTAAATGACCAAACAAAATGGAAGACTTTTGGCTCTTTAAGTTTTTGGTGACATTTATATTTTTTGTAAAATTTAGGTTTATATTGCAGGGAACTGAAAAATGCTACAGCAGGGCATGATGGAATGGGACAATCCACGGTGCAGCTGGGTGACAACGGTGTCACGCCAGTAGGCAGAGCAGGGAACGGACAATCAGGATCCGGGACACTCAGCTTCAGGAACACAGGGTTCATTAGAAGATACGAGTAGACAGGGCATAACCAGGCACATGCCTTTAATGACAGAACTGGGGATACATACACTGACGTGGACTTAAATACACAGGACTTAATGAAACAACAAGAAACAGCTGATAACACTGGGGTGTCACATGAGGTTAACAAGGGGGGCATGGCACACCGGAGGATTGTACGAGCCAGGCGTGACAAACGGATTTTATTGGGAACTGAAGACATGGGAAACCAGAAACAAAAGGGAACCACGAGGGGCCAAAGCAAAGCAGGAAGGTTAAACGATAAACAAGAGCCAAAACTGCATGTGAGGAATGGGAAGGGAACGCAAGCCAACATCTACAACCCTGAAAATAAAACCAATAGCCAGTAACACACATGCAATGACCAGCTGAGGAAAAAAGCATGAACAGGAACTTGATGAAGGTCAGGTGTGGTGTACACTTGCTTGGATCAGAGAAGCCCGCTTAGCCTATTTAGCCATGTGGCGGCTCAGGAAGCAGGTGAACACACTAAGACCTATGAAGGATGTTAAACCTAAGGAAACTATGGAAACACAGAATAGGATGGCCAGCGACACTAGTGGGCATAACAGGGAAACAACAGACAGGACAGGGGCCGATCCTGACAGTACCCCCTTTCCTATGTGCACACTCCGGGTACAAAAGGCACTGACAGGACTGGGACAGGGTACATGAGACCACAAAACAGTAACACCATCTGGGGGACAGCAGGAAAGACTGGGCTAAGGTATTACACCAGATGGGGACCAGGCGAGACAGATGGAATGTGACAAACTGAGACAAGGTAGGCAGAATGGAAAACACAGGCAACAGACTGACAGGACATGCAACAGGAGGACAACCAACAGGGACAGAACCAGGGAAATGACAGCGGGACCTAATTGATAAGGGTAACTAAAGCAACTAAAGTGACATCATTAAGAGGAATGGGTGTAAATGGAAGAGGAAGAAATGTGCAGGTTCAGATTGTGGTCTGTAGGTCATCAGGGGTCTAAGGAAGGACTGGGAATGGGACAGCGAAGGATGTTGGGTAGTGGTGTAGCCTGCCGCGGGCTTGGTGGTAGGATGTTCAACTGGGCTGAGCGGCAGCCCGACGGGAGCTGGCGAGGATGGAACAGCAATGACCGGAGTAGGTTATACAGGCCCTTAGGGAATCTGGGGATAGCCTGTGGGTGCAAGGAAGGTCATCAGCAGTGGGTCTGGGGGGCATCACCGGAATCCATGCCCCCCAGACCTCTCAGGGACACAGAATGACGATACCAGGACCAGAGCCTGAGACAACTGCAAACACTGAATGAGCGCTGGGGTCTGGGGAGACAAGCCCTGGTGAGACTGGGTCTGGGGAGACAAGCCCTGGTGAACCGGGGTCTGGGGAGACAAGCCCTGGTGAGCTTGGGTCTGGGGAGACAAGCCCTGGTGAGCTTGGGTCTGGGGAGACAAGCCCTGGTGAGCCTGGGTCTGGGGAGACAAGCCTTGGTGAGCCTGGGTCTGGGGAGACAAGCCCTGGTTAACCAAGGTCTGGGGAGACAAGCCCTGGTGGGCTTGGGTCTGGGGAGACAAACCCTGGTGAACCGGGGTCTGGGGAGACAAGCCCTGGTGAGCCTGGGTCTGGGGAGACAAGAACTGGTGAGCCTGGGTCTGGGGAGACAAGACCTGGTTAACCGAGGTCTGGGGAGACAAGCCCTGGGGAGCTTGGATCTGGGGAGACAAACCCTGGTGAACCGGGGTCTGGGGAGACAAGCCCTGGTGAGCCTCGGTCTGGGGAGACAAGCCCTGGTGAGCCTGGATCTGGCAAGATGGGTGCTGGTGGGCTCGGGCTCTGGAGACTTGGGCTGAACTGATTATTTTCAGTTCATAAGAAGTTTAGGCCACATATGTTTATTTCAGATGCAAGTATCTTATGCATTTAGGGGAGCCACAGGGGGGCCATGCTTGTTGTCACAGGAGCATTAGCCCCCCTCCCCCCCCCACCAGGACCAGCACTCTTTATAAAAGGAAGAACATACACCATATGAGAAGAGTCAGGTTAAGAGCTGTACCTGCAGTCCTGACTGTGTGAGGCAACAGTGCTACCTACTGAGACATTAAACCCACATTAATAATGTTCCTATAGAAAAAAAAATCAGTCATCCAGATCATTCTGAAGTCTTACTCTTGTCCATGTGACGCTGTAGGGTGGAGGAAGTCACCCCTTAAATATCACAAAAGCTCTGTTTACATTTGTTTTTAAAATACATCTTGGGGGATCAGATCCCAAGTGGACAGTACTAAATTCAAGGTTAAACAACCAGCATGATGCATTGTAATCCAGTCATCAAAGCCACTTGTCAAGGTGGTCTGGAACACATTGGACCACATAGTTTTTGTAGTGTCCTGATGCGTTCCCAGTGAAGGTGTGACAATAACTTTATTTGCTTTTCTAATGGAAGTGGCATAAGCAGTAACAAAATCTAATCACAAGTGGTCAGTTGGACATCCTGCAGACACATAATAGACACAGGTGTAGATGGTGAAGTGTGTTTTGTGATTAGATTCCCTAAGATGCATTTTAAAACCTAGTGTCATCAGGGCCACAGAATGTACACAACCAGAACACCACGGTGTTTATCCTAGGACAGTGTACACTTCAGATAATTTGAACATTTTCAGGAGTTGCTGCATAATGATTTAATTAAACTTGCTGCATTAATGAAAGGTGTGCTCTAAAACAATGTGTATATAGTTCATAGTTTATCCAAAATTAATAAGCATGTTTTTTTCCACTTCACACAACTTCTGTAAAATTTAGCAAAAGATTTATTTATAGCCTGGAGAAGGGAGGACTTTCAACATCACTGCTTAAGAATGTGACCTACCTAACAGCACAGCAATGCTGGCGATGAATAAGACATTGCAAACTGTGTTTTGTAAGCTCCATGAGATTTCATGATGTGACTTTCCACCTGCTTATCCTATTCAGGGTCACAGTGGGGCTGACAGCGCATATCCCAGGAAACTCAAGGCAGACGGCTGGGGTACACCCTGGGTGGGACTCCAGTCCCTCACAGGACATGTGCATGTGCATACACACACACACACACACACACACACACACACAGACTTGTGATTATATGTTTGTGGTGACTCTTCATTCACTTCTTTGGGGAAAACACATCCTCACATGATGACCTTAACCCCTACCCAGCCCTAACCTTAACCATAAGTCACCAAACTAAATACGAGACTTTTGCCATTTTTATTTTTTTGGTTGCATTCACAGATCTTTGTGTGGACCTGAAAATGTCCCCACAATGTAAAAAACAGTTTTTTATTACATTGTGGGGGACATCTGGTCCACACAATGTAATATAAACCTATTCCACACACACATACAGTCATTCACTATTAGAGGGCAATTTAGAGATGTCACATACCCTAACTGCATGTCCTTTGACTGCAGGAGGACATGAGAATGTTCAGAATGTTCATGCATAGCACTGAAAGGCACGCCACATGCAGAGCGGAGGAGGGGGAGGGGGGTTAAAACCACAGGACTGCAGGAGTCAGCTAACGGTGCCGTCAGCTAATCTAACATGTTGGCTTCTTTTGGGAAGCTTATTATATCGTTTTTAGCGGATAAGCAAGTTTATAGTTTTACTTCTGCACAACTTCCCTTTATTAATATAGTTGCATGTGTTGCGAATATGTTTTTTTTTAACAATGTGTACTTATCGTTGTAATAAAAAAAACCATGAGAAACTTCTGGATGAGGCACGTGCTCACTTGGTTCTATTTTCAACCAGATTGCTTATCAGCGAGTCAATTTTCCTGTGACCTATGTACACGTAAAACAACACTTCAACAAACGCCAGCAACAGTCTTTAATAAGCACTGCACTGTCAAACGAAGTGGAAACAATTTCTACTGCCAGCGTGACCTTGATTTCAGAAGAGCCAGTAATATATAAATTTAAAACGGTTATTGCTTTGGTATTCGTTTCACCCCTTTTTTGGTTAACGGTATAAATGATCATCCAGCGGAGGAAGTTTTTAGAAGCCTCCCGTTCTAAAATAAAAGCAGTGCGAAGAGGCTAGACTCCAGATAACTGTGTTCTGAATTTTCTAAATAAAATACAATGGTACGTTTTAAAAGAATACAGAAATTACATTTATCAAATATGTTGTTAATGGTACATTATTTTAAAAAAGATATTATCGTTCAACCTTATGAGATGTACTAGTTCCAAGAAAACACTACAAATACACATTAGATTAGATTTTAATTTTGATATTCATATATAATATTTTTATTAACCTCCCATATGAAATATGAAAGGGAATCAAAACCCTGCCCCACCCCGCAAACCCTTGCGAGTGGAAAAGAGTCAAAGATTCAAGAATACAACTGAAACAGAACGAGATTACGTCGGTGACTTCCCAAACCGGTGCATACGAAATCTCCAAGATGTAATCAATAAACAAAACTATAACATAAAATGCGGAAGTGACAAGTGACAAGATACTGAGGGGGGAAGTGAACAATCCAATGAGTGTATATTCTAGCTGAAAGAACTCCAAAGACTCAAATCAATGAAAACAATCAGGAATTACATCTCCCATTTTTCTTTACATTTTTCATTCTCAGTTAAAATCCCTGCGATTGGTTGGGACTGGGGACGTTAGATCCCGTTCTGTGATTGGCTGACACGGGATCGGCGCCGGCGCTCTCCGTGCCGATCGAGTTTGATGTTATAGACGCTCTATACGTTTCGCCTAGTTAAATTTTGACGTAACACAAAACCAGTGTCACACGATAGATAGTAAATGATGCCAAAGGTGTCATCTTTTTATTGTATTCTGTTTTCGGCATTAAGAACCTTGACTTAGTTTTAGTTTACACGATGCCGCCAAAAATTTGTCTGTATGGTACTGGTGTAGTTTCTGTATTGTTATTAATTGTCTCCATCGCATTGGTGTTGTTTCACGTATTTCCAAACTTCCTGCACTCAACGATGAAAAAGGTATTTGTTTGGGGATGTTGTACAGTTGTTACTTATGCGTAGTAAAACATGAACTAAATACGCATCCGTTTTCCGGGACAGTGTACCTTTAAAACTGCGTTCTTAAATTATAGGATTGTTCTGCTCAGACTTTGGCAAATGATTTATTTCCAAATCATTCCTGCCGTTCTGTAACAAGCAAGGAATCAAGTTTATAATGAGCTTTAATGGTCATCTGAATGTACTCTAAATATTTATGTTTACCGAAATAGGAAAGCTATAGCGAATGCAAATGTCTTTTAATGTCAGGCGAATTGAGGAGTTCCCCATGAAAAGGGTGCTAAACAGCTTTTCACGAAAAAATGGAAGAGGGCGGAAGTCCGTTTTTGTGCTAGAGTGCAACAAATTATTTTGATCTTTACATGTTGCATACAGTTGTGGTTTTATACTAACTCAGATTTAATCTGCAGGAGATTGTGCTAAAAAATGGCACGGATGTATTTGAAGCCTGGGTGAATCCATCGCCCCCGGTCTACATGCAATTTTACTTCTTCAACGTGTCCAACCCATCGGAGGTGTTGAAAGGAGAGAATCCGTCAGTGACTGAGGTTGGGCCTTACACCTACAGGTAACTCTCAAGAGGGCTGTCACGGGTCCACCCCTCTCGTGTCAGTGTAGGTAATCACTGAACGATAGTAAGTCTCCGTGCTTAAGAAGTTTATGTCTACATAGTTTTCTCGAAGCTCACGCATCACGTCACAGTGTGAAATGCTGGACTTAATGGCTTTGTTCTTAATGGTCATTTCACTGAGAATTCAGCATCTGAATAACATTCTCTTTAATGTTGAAAATTTGAACATGGACAATTTATTTATGTACTATTATTTAAATTATTTGAATATTATTCAAATGTAAATGGTGGTACGTTATATGGTTGATTTGCATTAAAATAGTTAGCTGATTGGGTAAAAGTAAAATGCAGCGCATTAGTTTTGTGAAAATAGTTGTGAGCCTTCAATATATCCATCCATCTTCTATTGGTCAGAAGCATGGAGCCTATCCCCCCCCCCCAGCACGGTACTGGGGTAATCACTGCAGGGCACACAGAGGTGATTAGGCGACATGCATGTGCCACACACACAGAGGGAGCAGGATTTGAACCTGCAGCACTGCTAACCATTGAGTCAGTGTGCTGCTGGACATATAAAGACAGTCTTTTGGCCAACTAGGTTGACATGGTAGATACTTCACTCTTATACATGAAATTTTAAAGAAAAGCAACACAAATATACAGATATGTACAGAACTTAATATTTACACATTCAAATTAAAATATTTTCACATTTTCACACCCAGCCTTCAGACGCTAAACATAAATTCCATCCTGCCACACGCCCATACTTTAGCCTGTGCAGTAAACCTGCTGCTACTCGGATGTGCAATACTCATCTGGTAATTTATGTGTTACTACGTGCAATAATCACTCAGCAGTATTTATTCTATTAATATATCGTATTTCTGTTTCGCTTATGTATATATCATGGTGTATATAGCGCAGAGTTTCTCTTTTATAATTTTATTTCAGTTTCTTATATCTTATATTTTTACGTTCTTGTCTTGTGTCTCTGTGTGACTGTTTAGTAGTAACATGAGCAATTTCCTCCAGGATCAATAAAGTTTTTCTGATTCTGAAATCTTAGCCTTTCAAGTATAAAAATGGGTGCAAGGGCACTAAGTGTAAAAAATGTGTAAGAGTGAAGTATAGGTGTAGTGTCAGTATCCTTTACTGGTTTGGGCTAGGGTATGGCATGCATGGAGCAAAGAGGCATGTGATTGGATGTAAACACTGACCAGAAAAAAAGGCAGGTTTTCCGGGAGTGTTTAAGCACTTGTGTAAGGAAGGGGACACTGACATCATTACTCAGACTTTCATTAATATACAAAAAGACCCAACTGCCTCCATCCAACATGATCTGTGAATCTGAGAAACGAGACAGTTCCATTCACCTCTCAACTAAATCCGCAGTGCAGTTCAACATTTCATCACGTTAGCTTAGCACATCCCGTCCCTTTAACTCGACCCTTCTCCTTCACATGGCTGCTTGGGGTTTGTGGGAATATGATGGCACAGAGGTGTCACCTGACCTACTAGGCGTGCTGCTACTGACCCTCGCCAGGAAAAGCTGGTTGAAGATGGATGATGCATGGAAATAGAACTAAGTTTCCAGTAGGATTCTGAAACTCATTCTGGCAGGATAAATGCGTCATGACATTTTCTTGGGAATTAATTGGGCTTGTGGACATGTTTTGGTCATGATATTTTTAAATTGGCCTTGTGTGATCATGTATGTAAATATGTGTACCGTAGTGGACTGGCATCCCGTCCAGGGTGGCCCCTGCCTCATGCCCTGTGCCATCTGCGATAGGCTCCACACTCACCGCGACCCTATTGTCTGATGCTTCATTCACTCAGAATGTTATGTTTCCTGCAGAGAAATTCGTCCCATGGAGCAAGTCACTTTTCTAGATAATGGTAATGAAATATCTGCAGTCAATCCCAAAACCTACATCTTTGAGCCCAACATGTCCAGAGGACTTGAAGATGACCTCATCAGGACCGTGAACATCCCTGCAGTGGTAGGCTGGGCTCTGTAATTCACTCCTGTACCCCTCGATACATTTTTGCATTGAAGTGCTGTAGACATCTTGTGAATGAAAATATAAGCTTACTTTGCCAGTTTGCATTATTTTTATGGTCACATGTCATGTATAATTATTTTGACATAGCAGTATAATATTGTAATATTTCTAAACATCAGAGGCAGTTTATCTTAATTGAATTATAATAAGTTCTGTATTTTTCCATATTGCCGTTTTGGAAAATGGCTAGGTAAATTACACCAATTTAAGGGCTCATAATGAAAACTGGATTTCAGTTGTATTGTTGTTTCTTGTGTATAACCTTGTTTCATTGTGCATTTGCGTAATAACAGTAACGTTCACTTTGACTTTGAGTAGGTTTATTCCATGACTGTTCAAATGATTTCCTGTTGTCCTTTTGGCAGACTGTAATGGAGAAGTTTAAGGATCATTCCACCATTAGCAAGCTTATCTCTGCATACATGACATCAAAAAACGAAGGACTCTTTGTGACTCGTAAGGTTGGGGATCTGCTGTGGGGATACACAGATGATGTTCTCAATTTTCTGCATACATTTTCTCCAGAAGTAGATCCCAATTTTGGCCTTTTCTACAAGGTAGGTTTCTCTTCCTGCTAGAATTGTATTGTTAGATTTTAGTTGGCATTATTGCACTACAGTATGGGTTTTATGGTAATGAGCATAATATTATAAAAATTTTGTTCTCCGGGTACCTGTTTGTAATTGTAGCACATTTTTACTGGTGCAAATCTACACTTTTTTTTCTTCTCATCAGTAATAATTTTTAAATAGTTGCCTCAATAGTCAGCACACAACCGATTTGGAATGTAGCTGAAACAAGCCATAATATGTGTAAATGAGGTTGCGATTCAAATGAACCATCAAAATGTTTTGTTGCTCACTTAAATGAGCCGCTGGTTTCATTCTTTATGATTCATTTTTTAAATTGTACTTATTTTAGATGAATGGAACTGATGATGGCGAATACATATTCTTCACTGGAAAACAAAATTATACAGACTTTACCAGAGTGGCTAAATGGCGCAATGAAAGGTACAGTCAGTCTGAGCATAATCTCTGCGTTTGGGTGTTGGATGTTGTGCAGTCATTTTATCTTGAATCTGTATCTTCTGCCTACAGCAATCTGGAATGGTGGAGTACAGATCAATGCAATATGATAAATGGAACCAATGCGGCCTCCTTCCATCCCATAATTTCCAAAGACGAGATGCTCTACATGTTCTCTTCGGACCTCTGCAGGTTTGAGGGCCAATTCAAGGCCAGATAATCATTTTCATCCTGAATGAGGAAGCAATTAGTATTGCATTTTAAATCAGTGATTCTCAATCCGGTCCTCAGGGACCCTCAGAGAGTTCATGTTGGGAAACATTTTAAATGATTTACTTCATGAAGAAGGTATGATGTGTAAGAAAGAATTCTTATTTAGTAGGAATGGCAAGATTCACTGATTCTCGTCGGTGCGTCGGCACAAACGTTCCCGGTTCATATTCCCTGATTTAAAAAGTGCACTGGATACAAGTTGGGATGAACTTGCGATATCTCTAACATCTTTGCATCTGTAAAATCCAATTTATTAATATAGAATTATTAGTAGAGGCTCTATGCCTCTATCATTTCAAAATGTGACCAATAATTTTTGATTAGTAATTTTGTATTTTTATCGATTCCCTCTCTCTGAACTGTCTGTACCTCTATCATATTGAATTGCATGAGCTCACATTCTTTTGCAACGTATTGTGTTGAATCAAATTGCGTTGAATTGCTCTGAATCGCAATGGGGTGAATCATACTGTATCGTATTAGTAGTTGCTTCATATATATTTTTAACGTATCGGATTGTGCAATACACATCAAGATGTGTATCGCATCAGCCTCAGAGATGGAGATACACCTCTCTATTAATTAGTCCTTGTTGATTCTTGGTTCTGTCTGGCCTTTTCATAAGAATATAGGAAATTTACAAACAGAAGAGGAGAATTCAACTAATAGCTTAAAGTTGTTAAAATCTTATCTAGCTCTGATTTAAAGGAACCCAGGGTTTTATCTTGCACTACACTAACAGGAAGACTATTCCATACTCTAACTACAGGCTGTGTGAAGAAGTGCTTTCTCAAACCCTGCTAATTTCCACCTTGTATTTTAACTAATAACTATTTGTAGAACTAGTAACTATTTGCTTGAACAGCATCCAGACCTGTTAGTCTTATATACCTAGATCATGTCCACTCTTTGTCTCCTTTGCTCAAGGCTGAACAGATTAGGCTCTCATTTATGCTGGCATTTAATTTCCCTCCAGTTTCCGTAAAATTTAAACTGGGGTTGTTTATTAATGGAATTCACTTTTGATAGAATGTTAAGATTATTTTTTGACAAATGATTCATACTGAGGGGAAATCAATTCAGTTAACTTGAATTGTCGGCACTGGTAGAGTACAAAAAATAATTATTTATTTATTTTTTTGTCTCTTGTGTGATGACGGCAGGTCGATCTATGCCCTGTTTGAGAAGGAGCTGTATGTGATGGACATTCCCGCGTACAGGTTCACGATTCCCAGAGAGGTGTTTGCCAACATCACTGAAAACCCAGCCAACGCAGGATTCTGTGTGCCGGCTGGAAACTGCCTGGGATCTGGCCTGCTCAACGTCAGTGTTTGTAAGCAAGGTAAATGTGACATTTTGTAGACAGGACGGTCATGAGAATTTAACGTAAACATTGATAATACAGATGCACATATCCGATATTCAGATCAGTTTTGGCGCCAATCCAGACCTATTTGATGGATCGGATATCGGCCATACGTGACTGATCCATGTTCGATACTTATTTAGTTTTCTACAGTCTCCTAAAAGGTAGCTCCTATTTCTTGTTAAATCTATTTGTACAATCAATCGCACGACAGCTGTTTCCCATTTTAGACGTGTTAATTCGGCATTCAAGCTAAATGCTAACGCTGCCTCTCAGTCTGTTTGCCACTCAGTGGGTGTGAGCGCAGTGACTTTTGCCTGCGGTGACGTCATGCGCATACCCTTTGCAGCAAGAGGAGCGTAAGATCAGATAAGGTTGGGTGACGATCTAGGCGTATTTTACACTTTTAACAGCAACTAGTAGCACAGCAATTTGCAATCTTTGTAAAATCAGTTTTACAAAGTTTTGAGAGGTGGAAGTAGTTTTTAGTGTGTGCCCTGCACTAAAGAAAGCACATGCAATTGTGCGAGACAACACGAGTATGGAAAAATGAAAGTATATGAAAAAAAAGCAATATATGATTTGGGAGTTGCTAGCTTGGGCTGTTTGCGCAATCGCTACAGCTTGTGAAGTGTAAGTGACGCCGTTCCCAGTGGGACATTGTGGGCCATTTTAAGCATTCGTTGCTTGTGTATACTCTCTTGGAAGATACTGAAATTGAACTGCAAATGCCACAAAAACCCTTAAAACAAGACAAACGAGGTGTAACGGTACGTTATGTATGTTTCTAGTAGCCTAATTAAAGATTTTTTGGCTTACATTTTTTCATTTGTATTTACTAGTTAAAAAACAATATGTATGGTATAAATATTAATATTACATATTATCTATATCTTTAATATAAAAATATATATATTTTTTGTATCGGTATTGGAGGTTGTGTATCGGAATCGAATCAGAAACGAAAACGTGGATTGGCCCATCCCAAATTTTTTTCAGGTTGATAGGTAACCACAATTCAGAAAAATGCATGCATTTTTAATAAATTTTGTACATTTAATTTATTTAGGAAACCCTTTTATCCAAAGCGACATACAGAAACGTACATGGGAGGAGAAAATAATTAATGGAAGTCTTTTTGCAAGATCTCACAATACTTTATTTATAAATAACTGGCATTCTCCAGCATTTATAAATAATTGCCAGTGGACAAATAATTGTCCATTCACCACCAGAGACTGTAAGAGGGGCAGTTATTGAACGCGAAGTGCTCATGCAAAAATTTTAATATTAATTAAAATCCACCCATTCAGAAATCTAGAAAACAGCTTTTGCTCACTAACGGTCACTGGTAGTGAGTGGACACTGGTCATTAATAATGAGTAATCCCTAAATACCATATTGGCCCGAATATAAGACACTGTTTTTTTTTTTCCCCAAAAAATGACATCTGAAAAACTGTGATCATCTTTTGTTCCAGGACTAGAGTTTAAATGTCATTATACACATGTGACAGCAGATGGCATAAATTGTCTGCCTCCTGGCCGAACACTTCAAACATAATCGAAGGAATCAAACGTTGTTTTAGCGATACCATGTCATTTCAGGAATGATCACCATTTCAGCGATCTCCCTGTCTAGGGTCCCTGAGGCGAAGTTTTTCATTTGTTCTGATCCCATTTACTGTCTACAATTAGCTGACATAATTTGACTCTGCAGGGTTGGTCAGTAGGACTAATTATGTAGTTCCCAGCATACTTTGCACCGTCCCCTTACGTATCTTTAAGTAGCGTAAATTAGTATGTGTATTTGTGTATTTATGGTAATAGTAAATGCCATACCTGTGTAATGGTTGTTATAGAAATACTACAATTCATTACCGTGCAACCATGAGTGTTGAGTAAATTGTTGGCTTCCTTGTTTGTGCTTCTGCTAGTATTAAACCAATAGTGGCTGTTAAAAAAGAAAGTAACTCATTTTAAAAGAGCCGCCATCTCCTGTATTAAAATGACTCCAACAAAAGTATTCCAAGGTCTCGCAAAAATACTCGTCATTTTATTGCTCCACCGATAATTTTTTTTTCTAGGTGATTCATGTTTGTCCCCTTAGGGGCTCTGTACCATATTGTTTAAAAAAGTAAATTCTGAATAGAAAACAGCACCTGATTTATTTAATTCAGCATCAAGAAATTCATAAGACCTGATTCAAAGACCACTGGATTTGTGATTTAACATTCATCTGAGTGGTGAACATAGACTCTGGTATGGCAGGGACTGAGACATGAGGACACATCAGGACAACAAAGTAACAGGTTTCAGAGCGTAACAGTGTTATCTTTGTATCATAATGTTAAATAACATAATTTTCAAATGTAAACATGTTGCATCAGCCAGTGGTTATTCTTTATTGTTGTGAAGAAGCAGCTCTTCCATCTCAGGCAGGGCTGCAGCAGACCGTATAGAAGCCTCACATGTTTCTTGTCATTGGTAGCACTGCTTTGCACCATTGCCAAGGCACTGGCATCCTTTCAGCGGAACTTATTCCTTTCAGAGACGTGAAGTTAATGGCCAGTTTATGAAAAGGAAAATGTTTAAAGCAGTGTTTTAATTGTATAATAAAAGTATCACACCCCGTATGCCTTTGAAGGATAAGGCATTCGCCATCAGAATGAACGCAACAAATTAATGGAACAAATTAGCAAAAATGTATATAGCCGATCACATTTCTCAGCAGTGATAGTGCACTCACTAATGTGCCTGATGTGAGCAATAGTTTTTACCTTTTATAATCTCATGGACTAAGAGGGAGAAGTAGGACCACAGGGAGTAAGAAATCTTTACTGTTCTTTTAAGGCCGGATCAGTTTTTGAGCTGTTTCTGTACATTAATCTGCACATCTGTGTCTGATATCAGTGATAACTATAAATAGTATCAGGCCAAAAAGACATGGGCTTGAGTATGTAACTGAGCTTCTTATTAGATGAATGAAACATTAAAAACTGGGATCCTTATTTGAATGACATTAGACGTCTTGTGAAGTCTGCACAATGATACAAACATGATGCCTGAGAAATCTCTTCTCTCCACCTGTAGGGGCCCCAATAATCATGTCGTCCCCTCATTTCTATCAAGCTGATAAGAAATATGTCGATGACATATTTGGGATGAATCCAGTTAAGGAGGACCATGAGACCGTTATCGATGTCAACCCTGTAAGTAAAGTGCAGGATACTTTTTTTGTACAATTTTGATTCGCTGATATGTCAGAGTTTTGCCAGAACTAAAGCTTGTTTTGCAGTGAATGATTTTGGATCTTTCGATCCATATTGTGCAAAAGTCTTAGGAGATCAAATACAATGATGTTTAAATGATGTTCATGTTGCTATAAAACTATGATATTATGTCTGTTAAAGTTTGTGAGCTTAGCCATTTCAAAATCTCTCCTAAAGTCACTCCAGTATTGCAGCATTTTTTTTTTTACTTGGTCATTAGACACCTTGTATGGCTAATCAAGACCTTAATAACTAATTTAATCAGTCAATCAATCAGCTAATTAATTAATAGAGCAAGCATTGAAATTTAATGAATAAATGGAATGGCTGAGGTGCCCGTGAGAAAAGGTTTGGGAATTGAAGCGGTATTCATCTAGTCATCACAATAGTCATCATTGACTACTCATAAGTGACTTTTTTTAGAACAGAAGAAATTCTTGTTTATTTGCATATGTTCTAATGCTTTTTTTCATAATGTTTTTTGTTCATAGCAAAAGTGCATATACTACCCAGATAAATAGCTTTAAACATTTCGTATGAAAGCCTAAGACTTTTGCACAGCACTGTATCTCTAAGAACAAAGATCAGAATTGTTCATAATATTTTGTTTTTCTGTGACACAATGTGTGTGAATATTGGACAATAAAGAAGCTGGACAGAAAGACTATTGATGCTCTGTGACTTTGGTGCTGGCAAAGACTCATAAGACTGACAGAAAACAAAGAAGTAAATTCCTGAGCAATTCAAGCCTGACGTTTCACTTGAAGCACAAATGACTTGGCCTGAAGCTGTATCAGTTGGGACGTATTATGAGAAGACTGTAATTAAGGGAAAAGTTTAAAGTAAAAGATGAATAGGACGGCCTGAGGTTGGATTGGACTTAGTCGTCATATCAGTGGGTAGGCCACTGGGAAACCAGGGAACCATCGATAAGGAAGCGTCAAAACCAAATCCAGAAATCAAAGAATGCTGCAATTACTTTACATAATTATTATAAAGTTCTTAACCATACTTTTCCCTCCACTGGTATAGTACAGTAGAGACAAGTTTTTGATTTGCTGCAGCTGCAGAAACCATGCTATTACCGCAACGTGCAGTTTGATTTTGGATAAGCAAAACATGTTGGTTAGTTACCTGTTCACTTCTTGCATTTTCATTTTAAATGCTCTGCTTGTTAAATTTAGGTCAGCTGATTCTGGTGTTTTCTGAACACATTTTCATGTAAATACTAATGTGGAATTTAACCCTTAAGCAATACTCACATATGAATAGGGCTGATGAAAATGCCAGTGTCTCTGAATTAATTTGTTAGGGTCTACCTTAGTTCTGTTGTATACCTAACAGCCCTTCCTCAAATTCCGATGTCACCTGACGGTCTTGTGATATGTCGTATTCCTTTTCACCAGCAGGTTTTACTGTTAAAATGTAATTTTTTTCCTAATACTTGAAGAATTCATTCAGTAATTTCCATATGTAGTTTTGGCATGATGCTCAGTTTTGAGATTTATGGGAGTTGAAAGCCTTCATTACACACATATGCAAGACTCCCTTATATACCTAAAGATAAGATTTGTGGCAACAAGAAAAAAAAAAACATTTCTCCTTATTTAATGCGTTGAAGCAATTGATTAAATACTATTATTGTACCCCAAAACACAAATAAACACTTAGTCTTTATGAACTGTTATGTATTATATTTATTGTTTTTTTTTACGCATTACTATCTTATACTTGTTTTCTTCTTAATTTACCAAAAAGGTTAGGTGACAAGAAAAAAATCTGTTAGCACAAACAGGAACTCCAAAATTAACGAATAGTTAAAGTAGATCTTTGAAAACAAAGATTATAAATCAAGGGTAATTATTATGCTCTTAGGTTTGGGGACTTGAATTCTTAAGTGTGAGAGAAAACAGCTTTCTTAGATAAGAAAAGTTCTTATTAGTGATAAACAGAATTCTCTAGTCCTGGCCGTGGCTTCCTTAAAGAGGGAAGTTCATCTCGTCCTGCCTAGGCAGGCCAAAGTCCTGAGTAATAAGCTGCAGTATGTTCTATCATGTTGTAACAGGGGTCTTTAGACGTTGGCAGTTGGGATCGAGCCAGATTCCCAGACAATAGTGCTTGGCGAGAGCTGGTACGGCATAAGCCTAATTAACTATTTGTTCTTGATAAAGCCTGCTATACTTAGGCCATACTGTTGGCTATGATGACAAATTACTTCAGTTTTCCTTATTGATTATTTCAGTAGCTTGTTCATTTAATAAACTAAAGAGGAGTCAAAGTCCTCCAAGCATGATGATCTCTTATCTCGGTATATTGTTCTGACAGGTTGTGGCTGTTAAGTCGTGCTCTTTACACTGCTAATAAAAACAGAAAAACAACTTTTCTTGCCCTTGTTTGAATGGTTAACATCGTTATGCTATGGATCAAAAATATTTATTTTATGTCTCATTTGTAACGTGCAACAATATGAAAAGTAATTTCACTGTAAAATTCATTGATGCATTTTGACAAGGCCCCTTACCAAAATAAAAAGCTTTTAGCTGTAATATAACCACAGACATAATGATAATTTTAAGGGAAAATATAACCCATTTTCTTTTCTTAGCTCACAGGTTTTCTTCTGAGAGCAGCCAAGCGAATACAAGTAAATGTGTTTGTTCGTAAATATTCAGCTTTCAGGTAAGATTTCTGTCAGCCAATAACCTTGGGACCTTGTGCTGTAGGATAACTTGTGTCAAGTGTATATATACACACACGCACACACACGCACACACACACACACACACACGCACAAAGAAATTAATTAAAGAAATGTGTAACTGCGCCTGCAATAACATAGCCATGTCATTTGTTGTAGCTATTTTTAAAAGTCAATTATTATTTATCACAGTTACCATCATCATAAATTGCATTTACACTCTTTGGCCACCGTCTTGGTATTTGCTCATTAAAGCAAACTACCAGATACTGTTCGAAGCATTAGAATAGGCAAGACGAGATCTGATTGATTTTGAACATATATAGTTTGATTTTTGGTCCCTGCATCTCAAAAAGCCAAACTCCCAGAATTTTCTTGCATTAGTGTCAAGGGTTTATGGTGCTACAAGTGAATAAATATATTTTTTTAAAAATCCAGTCACCAGCAGTTCTGTAGGTTAAAGACACCTTTTTACTGAGAGGCGTCAGAGGAGTATGATGAAAAGAAAGCTTTAAATGACTACAGTACTACAGTGGTGTTCAGAAGAGCATGTCTAGCTTTAGTGAAGCAGACAATCTCATTTCAAGCCCTGTGTTTAATTTGTGGTGTTGTGCCAAAACTTCTGCTAGAGCTAAATCTTCATAGTTTTCTCCTCGACTTTCAGTCATCCACAATTTTATGGCTTTGTTGCGTGTAGCAAGATGGAATCCATTCTTTGCTCAGGCATTCCTAATCACCCCAGCATTTTGTAGCTATTACTGGCAGAATGGAAAAACAGTTCATGGAATGTTCTACAGCAAACATCCTAAAGGGTGGGAAAATATCTTACAATAGAGGGTTGATCATCCTTGATAAATATGTCACAATTAATAATGTGATCTAATGCTTTGGGAATCTTGTACAGCACAAGGAAAAAATATAATTATATAAATATAACAAAGTTGACCAGTCTAATTTAAATGGATTTCAAACAGTAGATCCCAACATGATTTTCTATTTGAATTGCCTGTTTATACAGTTATATTGAAATGTGCCTCAATATGTTGTTCTGTATGTGAACGAGCAATCAGAATCTCATACTCTTTCCATTAAACCGAAATGATCTGGTATCTTATTTCAAGCTTAACTATCATTATCTTCGCTCTTTCCTTCTCACACTGGTGTGTTCTTTGTGCCCCCACGTTTACACTATTTTAAAATGGACAACTGCTTTCTTATGTGTAGAAGCAGTTTATGGGGTCTTAATATGAATTTCAGTCTGATGTTTTGTAGGGGAAAGGTCAGTTAACACATTATTCCTTTCTTTTTTTTTTTTTTTCCTGCAGCCAGACCGGTAATGTCAATGACTTAGTGTTTCCTGTGATGTATCTCAATGAAGTAAGTCCTTGAAACCTTATACCTTTGTATTGTTTTTTGGCACTCATTGTCCCACCTGTTCCTTCACAATCAGAATGAGAACAATGTATGCTAAAATTATACAAACAATAGACAGAAACTGTCACTATCCACATCATCTAAGAACATTTTGCCGATTTCGATAAGATGACAAGATGGGTGGAGTCAGAGCAGCTAGGGGCAGGCTCACGTGAGAGGCACTTTATTTACCAAAAACCCAATGAATGAAACACCAGCAGTGGGGGAAATGCATGTCTTTGGGAGGGTGTGTTCAGAATCAGGTCAGAGTGCATGCAGGCTGAGCATTGTGAAGGGTGGGGCCCCAGCATCCTAATGGGATTGTCAGGTGGCAATTTATAGGAAGACCAGAGTACAGCCAGTACTTCCCTCTTCCATTTTCCATCTTGTCTGTTCTGTCTCCTTACCTCTCGTCGCTCTCCAGCGTTTCCGAATAGGTTAATTGGCAGGGAATAGACCACACAAACCTGCCAGTTCCCTCATTCGCTGCCACCCTGGTCCTGACATCCCTGCGACCACATCGTTAAAACACAGACCTCTAGATAAGGGCCACGTTACCAGAAACATGCTGAAAACTCTGAGCTATTTACAGTGGAGAAGCTGGGAAATTGCTTCACTCTTTGATCTGTGCTGCCTGCTTCATATAGTAATGTTTCTCTTTCAGAGCATAATTATCGACGAAGGGTCGGCCAGAACCGTGAGGGAGGTGGTCACTAAGGGGGCGATAGTTATTAACATCCCCTTCTTCATAATGGGACTAGCGATATTAATTGGTGTCATCTTCATCATACTTGTGTGCAAGCAGCGAGGACCTGAGGTAGGTTTTGCATGCGAGTACCTGGTATACATGATGATCTAGTGCATCAAAAGCCGATCTATTACATTTCCACCCATTTTTATTTCTTTTGTAGAATAATAATATGAGTAGCATCCTTGCTCCCTACTGTATCTTCAGGGTTTCAGTTTAAATCCAGCCTTCCTAACTAGCCTAAATGTACTCTCACAGATAGGTACAGTTAATCTAAACGTTTTAAACTTTGCAATGTGCAGTTTGAGTGGATTTCTTTTAGTAAATGACTGTTAATTGTTTTGATATGGCACAAAGATATTTAAATATTAATTAGGTGGTGTATACCTGATACGGAATGGATTTCAGTTTGTTATAGAACATACTGACTTTACTTTGCTCTTCTTCTCAGTCAACTCCAGCAGAACAGGAGCCTCTGCTGAAGTCATAATTCCAGCAGCACAAAGAATCATGAGACGACAAAAGTCACAAAATCAGCTGCTTGTATCGAATGTGTTACTTTAAAACTCTAATCCTGCTTTTTCATAACAAACAATGGTTTTGTTGAAGAAATCTGCTTTATTCACCTTTTAGCATGGTTTCAAGGAATTTTTGCACTAAAGGGAGGCTAATGTAAGCACTCTGATGTTAAAGTAACATCTGTTGTGTGCTTTGGGAACATTTTTAGTAAATGATTTGATTCCATTTTTATATACTAATTTATAGATGCATGATGGCATTTCTGTAATGCAAAGTCTGTATCATATGCATGGGAAGATTTCTGTGTTTTAACAAAGACTACTCACAACTGCTAAATTTCCTCTAACCTTCACAGTGAGATTTTTGAATAGTCAGTGAGAACTTCTATTGTAAATATTGTAGCCCCGAGGCAACATAGAGATCTGGCTCCATTGGTAGCTCCTCCCTCCTGTGTGTGTGTGCGTGTGTGCGTGTGTGTGTGTGTGTGTGTGTGTGTGTGTGTGTATGGGACCAAATTTCCCCACGGTGTGATAAAAACCTGTTGGTTTGACCTTTTGGGGACATTTTTTCAATGTTTTGACTGAAAACTAAAAATGCCAAGGTCTTGTATTGTTTGGTTACTTATGGTTAAGGTTAAGGCTGGGTAGGGGTGTCATAGTTTGTATTAGGGTTTTTCCTATTGAGATCAATGACTGATTCCCACAAAGGTGGTGTTTCTATGTGGAGTTTGCATATTCTGCGTGCATCTCCATGGCTTTCCTCCACGTAGCCTGGTGCCCACCCCAGCCCAGTGCGCTGTGCTGCCTGGGATAGATTCCAGGTGACCCTGACCAGGAAAAGCAGTTGGAAGATAGATGTACTGTCCAAAGGCCATCCAACTTCCTCCTGTTTGTTATTAAAAAAAGCATCACTTCCATGAATTATATGAAAAATAAATCTTGTCTTGTATGACCAGATATGCTCCATAGTCTTAAATTGTAAAATCGCTAGGTTTGATTGTGCTATTTTTATTATAGAAAAACTGAACTAAAAGAAATATGAAGATGCCCAGTATTGACTCTACAGCTTACTACTTACACATATAATGCATTAATTTACACTGAAGTTCGATGTTGTGAACTCAGATCCAGGAATGAAAAGCATCTGAACTTTTGAACTGTGGATTGTATGGTAACTGAAAATAATAATTTTCATTTAAGGTGTACTTTGAACCGGTGTGTCAATGATGAGTTATATTTGTGCATTAATTGTGGTAATTTCCCTTTCCAAGTCATTGGAGTTTGACTCGACAAACCATCATTTATTGCATTTAAAATCTGTGTATTGATTCATTATGCAAAATATCTTCAGCAACAATAATACTCATTGAAAAAAAACACTGAAATATTAACAGTACTTACATTGTTAGCGTACAGTTGCCAAAACTATGTACAAATAAATAAAAACTTTGTCTCTGTATTTACATTTTTTCTGGTATATTGAGTACAAGCAAGCACTTAGCAAGAAGTCTAATGTATCACATCAATTCAGATGTCCTGTTTATTTAGAATTGCATAAGGTTTTGTATGCATGGTGATAAATTGAATATTCACTAAAGGATTGCCTTTTAATTTACAAGAAAATTCTGATATTACAAATCAAATTGAAGTGTATTTAATATCTCAGTGTTTCCAGGAATCCAGAATAATGTGTTGATTGTACATCAGTACTTTGACAGACATTTTAGGTTGTTTTTCTGTCACATATGTATATTTGTTAAATGGTATATTAATATGTTTAATTATGCTGTCTTTGTTTACGGTTCTAATCAGAAATTTAAGTGATGTTGGAAAAACAATGTGTAGATCTCTAATGAATGATGATAAAGAAATATCCGAAGATGTTTGAAACGGGAAGCCATTAAAAAAGGGTCAGTTTGTGAATTTCTTGTTTGGGGGAGGCCCAAGCAGGATTTTTCCCTCCCTTTTTTATGATGAAAAAACCTGGAAAGAGCAGGTTTGTGCCCTGTAAAGAAGAAATATAAGTGAATAAATATCACATTAGGGACTGATAGGATGATTAACAAGACAGCTTCAGGAGAAATTAAAGAAAAAACCTGCATGACCATTGGAGAAATTAACATTCTAGATTATTTTAATACATATTTTAATTGTTCATACTGTCCGGCCTTTTGTATACGCTAATATTTTATGTGGCAAGAACAGCAGTTTTGTGCAATTACACTAACCTGCAAAATTTGGTCCCACACTCAGAGTGGTCGCGGCAACTGGCTCCAATGGGTCTGAGAGTGTTCCAGCGCCATAGCAACGATCGCTTAGCTCGTTGAATGAGGCCTTCACTCTCTTCTTGGGAAATTGGAGCTGTTTGTACCTGCTAAAGCAGACACCTATGGGTCATTCATGCGTCTGACTCCGACTTACAGAGAGATGCCGATCTTCCTGCTGTGTTACTTGTGTTAGTTACATACTGTATGTATGCCGCTCTCATTCTAGTTGGAGCTTAGTCTTCTCTTTATTCAGCAATGCAGTTGTTGAAACTCCCTAGGTTTTTTCCATTAAAAAAAAAACTAATTTAGCAAAGCAAAATTTTGTATGCTACCATTTGTTTTCTGCATGCAGTACTTGTATCCGAATTCCATTAGCAGGCTAAAAATCCCGATAGGCAGGCATGGTAGTAATGTCACTTTCTTGGTTTAATAAGGCAGATTATTATATCTTAAAAAGTGCAATATCCTTGCAAGTGATTCATTTTACAGCATTTTTGGTAATTTTAGCCAATGAATACAAACAAATTATTGCAGTTGCAATTATGACTATGAAAGAAATGTCATTAAAATATGTAAGACTGTGAACTCACTGGAGATAATAAGCAGAGATTATATTTCTAATTATCTAGAAGCATTTCTAGAAGTATCTTACCCGGAGGATAGAAACGAGGCACAGGATTAGTAAGGCAAACGTGGCAAGTGTCTTCATGTTTGAAAAATGCTGATGATACCTTGAGCTTTGAGCACTGTGAATATTAGAAAGGTATCCAGCTTTTATATTCCAAAAGATTATCTCTTGATAATTGTTAAGGACACTGATCACCACAGGTCAGTGATCAAAGGGCATCCTGGAAATTAGGATGATTCCACGTATGCTAAGTTAAGGTGGCTTTTCGCTGCTAATCATGTGTTTGGACTCTGAGATATTGTTGACACACATGCTGTTAAAGTAATAAAAGGGGCTGCTATCACTCAGTGGTCTGCCACATTTCATTCTGGATGAAATACCTAAAGCAGTGTTTTCCAAACCGGTCTTCAGTGACCCACAGCCGGTCCACATTTTTGCTGCCTCCAAGTTCCCTGCCAGACAGTCCACATGCCGGCAGCTGGGAGGGAGCAAAAACGTGGACTGTCTGCGGGTCCTCAAGGACCGGTTTGGAAAACACTCATCTAAAGTAAGGCAGACTGAGTTTATTTGTATAGCTGATTTCATAGGCAGGGGTAATTCAAAGTTTTTAACATGAACATATTAAAATACAGGTCAACCTAAAATTGCAATATTATAAAAGAGACAGGAACCCACTTCTGCGTCTCACCTGCAGGGTTGGGGGTTTGAGCCCCATTTCCTCTCTTTGTGTATGTTCACTGCATGTCGTTTGCATCTCCTGCCCATGTTGTGTAGGTTTCCTCCGGAGTCTCTGGTTTCCTCCTGCATTCCAAAGACATGTGCTTAGACTGTTTGATGTCTGTAAATGTCCTGTAGAGCATGTCTGGATGTATGCTCTGTGAGGGACTGGTATCCCATCCAGGCTATACTGTGTTGGCCAGAATAACTGGTCAGAAGATGGATAGATGTAGAACAAATTACAGAACATTTAAAAGTTTAGTGCTTAATCTGCAATGTGCGGCTCTGGTTAAGCCTCTGTATCCAGGACTGGAAGGTCATTGGATTGTTGTTGGCAGAGTGATCCAGCCTTTGAGCGAGACCCTTAGCCCCAATTGCTCCAGGACTGTATGACTGTCCTCTTCTCTCAATTCTATGTCATTTTGGATTAAAGTGTCTACTAAGTAAATAAGCTAATCAAAGGCACAAGAGAACATGTGGTCGTCTAGTTTGAACTGAAACGTGGCTACAGTTAGGGCACATCTAAGATCATTAGAGCATATTTTCTTTTCATGTTGGTAGCATAGTGGCTAAAAGCCTTACTGAGTCTAGATCTAACTCTAGGCACTACTGAACTTTCCCTCGTAATCTAAGAGGCCTGCCAGGCGTCTACTCTCCGGGCATGTCAGCCAATGTATTTTGATCCTGCGCCAACATATAAGCAAATAGTACGGGAAGCCAATGAAAGGATCTGAGAGTAGACGTTAAGTGTTCATTTTTGTTCCTTGTAGATATCCTTGCATGAGTTGATTAAGTAGCAGTTGTCCTGTTGGCAGTTTCGCTTGTTGCTTACTCTGAGAACAGCCATGGGTGTTGTCAGCTTGTCACTTATCATAGTGGGAACCCACTGAGGTCACAGGTGGATAGAGGTGATAGGATTTTGAGGGGGGGGGGGCAAAACTTTTGGAATGGCACTTAAGGACTAGCTGATGTGACGACAGAGAGCTAAGTGCCAGTGCATATAGCATTTCGGCAGATCCTCCATGCTTTTTGGTGAACACACAATGGGGTGTTGGGTAGTGGGCGGGGGAGGAGGGAGGTTATGATTGTGCTGAATTTCGTGGCTGAAGTTTGTAACCAGATCTTTCTCTGCCGTCTGATATAGGTCACTGTGACTTCTGCTCAAAGGCTGATAGTTGGCCCCGGATCAAGTCCTTGGTTTGTAGATGTTGTGGCTCCAGACATTCCTGCAGTCTGTCACCCTCGCAGGTCATCTTCCTGAGCCTGGGCAAGCGTGTGCCATTTTTGAGGTGGTAGATGCTTGTTCAATGTTTCTGAGCAGGTGGTGGGCAGGTTAGGAGCAGATGGGTTACTGGAGGCTAAGTCCCTGATTATGCTGCCAGCAGGCCAGGGGTAGATTGGCAGCAGGCCAGAGTCTTTGTGCTGCTGATGTTTTGGCTGCGACGTGTCTGTTACGTCCCGCATGGATTGGGACGAAATTGGGGATGCTGTAGGCTCTTTTCGTGTGTGTTTTATTTTTCTCTTCTAACAGGCAGACACGTCGGGACCGGATTGGAAGATTGATGATTGTCACCCCGGTCGTTGTTCTGGTTGGCCGTCTAACCGGCGCGTCGTCTTTAAAACGAAGCCTGGCTTACTAAGAGGCCATCTTCTGGAGCTCAGCAGCGTTTTTCCACATGATACTGCCCGCGGTCGTCCAGCCATTATCATTACCACTATTGCTAGCTTGGAGTCTGGGTTACTTTCTCTTTGTAAATGTATTCTCAGGGTAAATAAATAATTGGAAAGAACAGACTTGAGAGTTTGAGCATTTGCTCCTGTTTGTTAGTATAGCAGAACCCTTTTTGTCATTTATCCTGACCCTAAACAGTGTCACCATGTTCCTCGCATTGTGGGTGCAATGTGTCATGCAGAATTACACCAGAAGGATTTCAAAACTGGGAAGGTCCCTGTATCCTGATTGGCCGGTGTGTCAGTGCACAGGGGAAGATGGGTGAAGGAGGAGAACCGAAAGTTTTCCGTTGGCACTCTCGCTCCAGTTCTGTTTAGGAGGAGGCTATCTGGTCTCGAAAGATTGCGAAACTTTGATAACAGATGGAAATTGTCAATCAAACTGAATCATTTCAAGATGCAGTTTCCATGGAAACTAATGAATATGACCTTTTTGAATGCCAAATGAATGTTTGGATTTTTGTACATGAAGTTTGGAAGTGTGTCCTGTGAACATTATTCAAGTTTGCATGCACAATAACCCAGTCAGCTATTTGATGATTAGGCAATTTTTGTGGGAGTTTCTCATTTACAGTAGAGCTAGACCAGGGGTCACCAACCTTTTTGAAACTGAGGGCTACTTCATGGGTACTGAGTCATACGAAGGGTTACCAGTTTGAAACGCCCACTAAACTTATCTAAACTTCATGTATAATAAACATGTTTTAAATGCTTTTTTTTAGATATTGGTATTTTCAAACCTATATGCTGTAAATGCAAATGTGATTGAAGAAGAATAGCAACAGGATAAAATTAAATTTTAGATGCTGCTCACTGGTGAGTTGTGCTATGTTGGTGACCCCTGAGCTAGAGGCATTGCGAAAACAGCATGTGATATTGCCTTTGCCACCACCGTTTCTGATGGTCAAGTCATTCACTATAAGAAGAGTATATTGAGCAAGAGACGGAGTACTTGAAAGCCCTTTGTTCTTACTAGCAAGTGTTTCTGTCTCTATCCTCATCAGACCAAACAGGTTTGTTTGGTCACACTTTACTTGATGAGGAACAAATAACTTCAATTACTACTCAAGAACAAATCAACTAATACAGTACCTGCATGAAATACATGAACCATCATGACTGATTAACGAATATGATTTCAGTATGTAACTCAACAAACATGTTGTCAGTGCATAACTTACACTTAGTTACTTTTTAATTAATGCATAAGTAAGCATGTACTACTACATTATTTGTGCCCCATCAAGTAAATCGTTTCGGCTCATTTTCTTGAGAAATCATCTTGCACAGTTTCAGATCCATTTTGCAAGCAAATGGGCTGCCAGATTCCTGTGTAGTTGCTATGGTATGATAACATTAGCTAGTTTGGGCTTTGAAGTAGCTTTAGCCCTTCAAGCAACATCTAGGGAAGAATTCAACCACACATGAAACTGGCGGTTTCGTGATGCATACAGTATATAGCACCATGTTCTGAGCCATCGCACAGCAGTCTTGTAAACAAATTTGATCCTCATCTGACTAGGAAACAACTTTATCTGGTGCTGAATACTGTAAGGACTGTTGACTCTCCTCTTGACAGTGAATAACAACTGGAAAGTTCTTCATCCTTTCCTGATAGATAAGGGGGCAGAACAACAAGAATCCCCATTTCCGATATGACGTCCTCTGTTAGACTGTTCAGCTCCCTATACCTGCTCAATATGAGCATTTAATGAAATTTCCAACCCCTGGAAAATAATTTACCCCGATCTTTAACAAATAAGCAAAAAATGAACGCATTGCTGTCCTGCAAAGTCAAAATACAGGATCAACGTTGTCTCCACCAACATTGCTAGTAGCAATTAAGTCAATATTACTGCACTTAGCACCAACAAATTGTAAAAGCCAGGCAGATTCCACAGGAAAATAAAACATTGTAATGGGGTCTGCTCACTGCTGTGTGCCACTAGTTATTATCCCCTAAATAACTACCCTCTGTCTGGTGACATGTATCTTATGCCATATGACAGGACTCAGCTACTTGAGTTAGTCATGGAAGCTATCCATTACAACAGTGGTATGAACCTTTTTTGCCAGGGCCCATCTAGGGATGATCCCTCCACAGATATACACCAAGCGACCCCAAATAAACTTTAATTTTTAAATACAATTAAACAAAATTTCATTATTTTAATTTGGTATAGTGTGTTTATGATAATGTAAAATACTTCTAAAGGTTTCATTTTCCAAATTCTCTTCCCACCCCCCCACAATTCCTCCATTCTCCCCCAGGGCGGTGTGCCCCACAGTTTGAACACCTCCGCATTCAAACAATTTTAGTGATTCGGGTAGAAGGTCATGGGTTGATGCGTAAGACTGTGAGTCATGTAACAGAATATTAAAAATGAGGAACAAGCATAATCATACAGAAATGAGTGGTGCTCTTTGCTTTAATAAAGGTAACAGTCTAATGTGTTTAAATGTCAGGCCAAATATATCTATCAGCATGCGATTCAGTGCAAAGCGTTATGTATAAATTTTTACATATTCTTCCTTTCAGCTCTCCACCATGAGCAGGCTGTTGGCTGTTGGGGGGGTACATTCCTGACACCTGCTAAACATTTCAAAACACAAGAGCACTTCAGTTCCATCCAAAGGCTGGTGGAGGATTTTTCTTGCCCATTCTGCCTCAAATACACAATGCATGTGTCAGTAGCCTCAAGCTACTAACTTGTTGCCTCCATTCATTCTAGAATAATTAAAGTAGATGTAGTAGGTGAAAGCAGTTATGGGTCATAGCTACACCATTCAGATTAATCGAGTCAGTTCGGTTCATAGCCACAATCTGGAATCATCAAGTCAGTCCATCTCAAGCAAAGAGCACACACCCCTAGTGTTCCAGACACTCAATACATCGAAAGCTCTATAATACTGAGATTACACATAAGGGATTAAAACAGCGGCAAAAGTAAACCGGACCCTGCTACCTCCTGATGTCAATGGATTATTCTGCCTTTAACAGAAATTGCAAGGGTGACAATGTTTAGGTCTTAAAGAACCAAAAAATGGTTCATGACCCCTCAACAAGGAGAAGTGAGGACTTGCAAAACCCTTCTTCTAATGTGGACCTGACAGTTCATTTCACTGTAACACTGCTAACATCATCATGTGGCATAACGCAGTTGTGTGAAATAAATGTTTTCTAAGGTTTTCTAAATCAAGGTTAGAATGATTATGGAAAAAACAGTAGCTAATTTGCTGGGGTGACACCTAAAGCACATAATCAGTGCAATACCGGTGAGGTGCTTTTAATGTAACTGATCATGGATGCATTTATTATCAAAACAGAAAATAAAGCTCATGTAAATTTTAACATTCCACTGACTGTCACATTCCAGTGAAGCTCATTGGAGATGGTAGACTTTTCTACATGTTCACTTTCAGTTGTCTGATTAGAACAGGTGTCTGTTTACTAACCCCCAGGGAGGGGATCAAGTCATCAGTTCTGGATCAATAACTCACGTCCCCACCTGTGACTACCCCTGCAAGTCAGTGACTTAAGTTCCCTCCCCGACTACCCCATATGTTCAGAAAGCAGGGAACAATTGTAACTTTCTTGACTAGCCAACAAAACAACACAGCGTGTAGTCAGAGTATGGAATAGTCTTCCTGATAACATAGTGCAAGCTGAATCCTTGGGTTCCTTTAAATCAGAGCTAGATAAGATTTTAACAACTGAGCTATTAGTTAAGTTCTCCCCAAGCGAGCTCGATGGGCAGAATGGCCTCCTCTCGTTTGTATAGTTCTTATGTTCTAAACAAAAAGTTGTGCTATTACTTGCTATGCAGCCCTAAATTTCACCTAAAATTCATTTAATTTCAAATGCAGCCTGTAGTCAGGGTTAGCGTCTACTTGTCCCAGTCTCTCCTGTCTTCCCCCATAGTCTTTAATGTTTCTCTTGTTCCCTGATTGGCTCAATCAGCTGAGCATGTAGCAACTTGTGTACCCCTTAGTGCTGTGTTCAAATCCTACCTCCTCTGTTTTTGTATTTTTGTAGATTTTGTTCCCTTGTGTTTCATTTGTATCAGTTTTCTAGTTCCTGTGATTTGTATACGGTTTTGGTTTCTTTCTTTGTGCCTTGGTTGTGTTACTTGTCTTTGTTATTCCCTAGTGTTAGATTCTGTTTCTTAGTTTGTGTTGCTTGGGTTAATTATTAGTTTCACCTTTTGCCTGTTTTCTTGTGCCAGTCCTTGTGTATTCTACCCTGATTGCTTGTTGTCCTGCACACTCCCCAATTGGTTAATTGTTTACACCTGTCCTATCCTATCCTTGTTAACCTTTTGTATTTAAGTTCCTCTTCTGTTCCTTCTGAAGTCATTGATGTATGTTGAATATTGTGTGATTTGTAACCTGCCTAAGTGCCCACCTGCCCCTTGTTTTCCCTGCTCCATTTGTAGTTAGTCTTTCTTTATTCCCCTTTTACTTTTGACCCCTCATTGTCCATTTTGTTTTTGTAGCGTTCCTAGTGTTCTGTTAATAAACCCTGTTCGTCCTGTGAGCCGCCAGTGGGTTGCCCGCCTTCCTTCCTGCACCATGCCATGTTGTGTCAGAACCACTTGAGTTCATGACACCTGTAGATTCTGGATCATAAGGACGCTGGCTTTTAGTAACGCTACATAAATTAGCGGTGAAGGTGCAAATAGCAGACATGTACAATGTTTTGATCAGTGAAAGGAAATTGGCCGCAATATGTTAATTTGTTCAACTACAGCTAAAATGTTTATATATAGCTGAGATAAAAATCCTTGAGCTAATGTAGGTGACAGGTCAGGCACCCTGAGTATTTTTCTCATATGGGAGTTTGAACTTGTACTTTTCATAAAGTTATATTAAAATTTATAATTTTTTACTTTTCCTTATTTTGCCTATAATAAAAATAAAATAGAAATTATATATTAAAAATGAAAAGTAGTAAAGTATACTGTATGTCTATCAATTATACAATATGTAAGGTAAGTGTGTTTTATACACGTTTGGACTAGAGGACTGCCGATATTCTGATAGTGTCTTCCGTACTTCCTAAACGCAGAAACAAGAAACAAGCTGTTAATTTCTTCTTCTTCATCTTCTTCTTCTTCTTTTTCTTCTTCTTCTTCTTCTTCTTCTTATTATTATCTATTATTCACAAAAACAAACAACAATAATAATAAGTAATATTATAAAGGAATAACCAGATGTTTCGCAACAGGGACTATTGAAAGTAACAAATGACATCTTAGGAGGCTATAAAAAGGACCGTAGCAAAAGCGTGACTAACGGTGACAGTCGCAGATGGACAGTTTGCGTGTAATCACGCCCCCTCTGACACACCCCCATCGTGAAAACCCAAAAAGAATTATTTCGGCTAGTAAAGGCCATTCAAGATAGTTGAAGTACTGTCTGTCAAATCTACTAGCTCTGTGGAAGACTCGCCGTTGCACGTTAACTTCTGTGGAGAGCAGAGCAAAAGCTGCCTTTTCATAAGCCCTTCATTGGTGCATTATTGATTGAATCGTTGTAAGAAAAAACAAGTGGCCAATAGGAAAATATCCGACATATTATATTTAGTAATTTTCTTGGTAATTATCATCCGTACATCATGACAAGAAAGTCGTGTGCATTGTACACAACGGGAATCGTCTGCGCGCATCTCCTGACAGTCGGGATCGGTTTGCTTCTCGCGCAGGTCTTTCCGACACTGATGCATAGCCGCTTAAAAAAGGTAAGCGCATTTACATGGAGGTGTTATGGAACTGGGTCTCATTTAACGAAAATACCGCTGTTTTTAATGTATAGCATATGAAGTTAAACAAATCACTGGGTAAGCATAGTGATTCATTTATTTTTTTTATGTTATATGAAAAGAGAAACTTTTAAAGTTTTCAAGGTCACCAATGAGACCGTTAACTCTGACCATGTGAGCTGGCGCCCTTTGTTCCACTTGTCCTTGTCAATGAAATTATTGTGAGTTATTCATATTCTACATTGTACATATATTATTGACGTGAAATTACAGTACGCTTAACTGAAATATAACGTTAAACATACGACTCGAAGAGCCTAATGTCCGCGTTATATTGCAGCAGTCATAGGCAATGTCACATCAGTCGTAAGCAGTAAGTGTTCTCCAGAGAATTCAATATGCATCTATTGAAATGAAGCGCTAATTAAACAGCGCGCATTTATAAACCTAATTTTAAATAAGACTAGTCGTTAAAGTATGAGAGATCAACTGCATGAATGTAGACAAGGTGCAGGTCAATTTAAAGCCCGAAAGTATTACAGGAACTTTAATGTCTGATGTTATATCCTTTTGTTGTCTTGACACAACTTTTTTTTTTTTTTTTTTTTTACTATGGTTTTCTTTAGCTGGGAAGTCAAATGACTCCTGTAGAACAATAACTACTGATATTCTTTTCTGGATAGCCTTCGAAGTTAAATATAAATAAACTGAAAAAAAAATCTATTGTGCATGTCTCTTTGCAGGTTTCCTTGAAACTCCAGGGGGTTAACATAACCTAACAGCTCCTAACTCTCTAGTAGAGTATGACTTTAAATTCCTGCTATATATAAACACACATGTTATATGTTGTAAATCTATAAATAGACTGGGCTCCTTCGTTCTAACATTCA